TCAGAAGAACCAAATGTTAAATAAAACAGGTAAGATAACTGAAATTTATATTTGTATTGGGATTGTCAATATGAAGGCCATCGGCAACGCCAGGGAAAGCAGCGCCGGTGTAGGAGTCTCTAAGACAGTATGTACTCTGTGAAGAGGAGGCTTGGAAGTAGGGTTAGTGACGGTAAACAACTCTCCCTTCTCTTTTATTTTTCCTTTCCTTTTCATTTCTTTTTCCTTTCCATTTCTTTTCTTTCCCGATGAAATATTTGAGCTGTCTTTCCGTTTCCCCTTGGCGGAGTTATTTTCTTGATACCACAATTGCAGTTTGACATAACAAAATATCTTTTTGCATACAAGATAAATGACACACTTTCCAACAAAATGTAGGTCATTGCTCTCTCCAATATTATTCTGTTTCCATGGGAAACTTGACTTGATTAAACCATCTACAAGGTGTAAAGTGAATGTATCTATTTTCTATTTCAAAAAGAATTTGTGCAATTTGTGAATCCTGGTCACTTTTCTTAAATAGACCTGTGTGTGTGTCTTCTGCTGCTCTCTGATATCTGAGTGCTCAACTCACATTTTATGGTAGACTATTATATAATTTGATGCTTAAACGTGATAAAATTGGCTTTCAGTAAGCAAAAGGGCCTTAGAATGTTTAACCACACTCGTCGGTCAGAAACATCAGTAATTTAAGCATCTAGCTGTCAACAAGCTACCATCTGTGAGCCTCCGATGTCAGTGAGGAAAGAATGCAAATAGGCCTTAGTCAGCAGATGCCGCTAAGGGACGCACACCACTGGCCCCTCCCGCCCCAGTTCTTATCAAAAGAATTAGTAAATTAGTATGGGTTGTTGAAATATCTAATCCCGGGTGTGTCTGGAAGAGATACAACATGGGTAGCAGTGGCTGTGCTGCAGCTGCCAGTGCTGAATATGTAACAGCGAAGCTTATTTTAGATTTAGTGGCAGCAGGAACCTGAAGGACCATTGGGTAAAGCCTGCCCCACCCCGTGATCTCCAGGGGCATGCATATCTTCCTGCCTTTTAAATGTAAACAAATGGGGATATAGGCTTTCCGCTTCTTGGCAAATGTTCTACGGTTCATTGTCAGAAGCACGCTATCTTGGTACTGTTTACTCACTACTATTTTTCCATCCCAAGTTTTTGGAGAAAGTAAACTATTATTATTTATACCGAAGCCGTTAATCAGGAGGTTGATTCGTAAGGAACTCCAGTTGTCAAGCTGGGCAACATAAGACTTGGGAAGGAGGAAAGGGCCTGATGGGTTGGGTTGGCGTTTTCAGTTAAAAGAATTAAGAGGGTGCAGGGAGGCTGAGGCCATGAGGGTTTGGGATGGAGGGGGGTGAACAGGTCGGCCTGGGGTCAACCCGCAGAGGGAGTGGAGGTTGGGTAACAGGAGGCTGTTGTAAGAAAGGCAGAATTTTATTAAGATGCAGAGTTAGTTTGGGCTTTACCTGTGGATTGAGGTCAGTTGTTTGCATTGTTATATTTTATGATCTCTTAGGAAAATGTTATATATTATCTGTATCTTTTCCTTATCTGTACCTTTTATTGAGAAATGTAAGGTTATTATCTGTTTACAGAACACAATATTTAAGTGTATATTATAAATCTCAAACATGTTTTTTATAAGACCTATAATAACTGTGAGGGTAAGAATATTTCCATGCATAAGTTTTAAATACCACCGTTATTAAATATTGCTTTATTATCCAAAATGTGCATAGTTTAAGGAAAAAGCTTGTTTAGAGAAATGTGAAGTTTCCAGATCTAAAAGTTCAAAATTATGCTCAGTTATTACAGATGCTATATTTGTTAATGGGAATGTAAAAATGTTTTAGGTGTTTGAGAACAGAGAGTTAAAGGTACAGGTCAAATTTAAAAGTATTTTAAATCTTATTTAAAATTAAATTCCGCAATTTAAATTCTAATGTATTATAGAAGATGTTTGATAATGTTAAATGCCCATGTAAATATCTAGAAAAATATCAATTTTCTTTTTAAACTCCAAAATATAATTCTATGTCTAGATAATATTTTTATAACTTTTTGGTTCATGTAAGTGAAAGCACTGATTCTAAGACTGCCTGGGGTTTATTGGGGATGGAGTTTGAAGAATAGAATCCTTTAGGAATTGCTACTGGCTTTTTAAAAATGTCAGCTTCACATTTGACGATTTGTAAAATCTTTCTCATGCCTTCCTACTGTATTCTCTTCCCCTTTATCGAGTATATGTGATTTGTAGACATGGGTAGCATATTATAATAGGTAGAATGAAAGGCTCTGAGTCAGACTGCCTGCATTTAAATTTAGTCTCTATCATTTACTGACTAGGTGACTGTGGGGAAATAACTCAATTTTTTAAAATTTATTTTTTGCCTCAAGTCCCTCATCTGAAAAGAAGGGAAATCAACAGTGGTTTCTACCTCATTAGTGTGCATTTAATCGGGGGGGAAAAAAGGATCAACATAATGCATGTAACACATGTGGTAAGTACTCAATAAATGTTATTTTCTTAGCTTCTGCAGAGCCTAAGTTGTTTGTAGGTTCAGCAGAAAGTTATAGCAATACCTTGTAAGATTTTAACAATATTCATTAAAGAAGTGTAGAAGAAAGTAGTTCTGATATAGTTTTCAATTAGTTCTGAGTAAGAACTGTTTTAGACAAAAAGCAATTCCTTTCTTTCAAAACAAAAGTCATTTCTTAGTTAGTCAATGGAGATTTTGACATTCACCATTTCAGATATAGTGTGGAGTACCAGGACTCTCCAATTAACTAAGTAATCAAAGCCTATATCTATATCTACATATTAAATCATGTTTTCATTCAATTTTGATTACTGCTGACTATATATATATATATATAATATCTCCCCTGCTATCAAAATTTAACTTGTTTCAGAATCTCTAAAAATACACTTAACTGTAGAACTTGATTGCTGTTATAATGAACTAAACATTCAGTTGAGGAAATAGGACACATTTAAATTATATATGAAAAATAGAACTATCATATGACCCAGAAATTCCACTTATGGGCATTTATCTGAAGACAACAAAAACACTAATTTGAAATTATACATGCCCCCCTCCAATGGTCAGTGCAACATTATTTATAACAGCTAAGATATGGAAGGAACCTGGGTGTTCATCAAGAGAGGAATGAATGAAGCAGATGTGGCATACACAATGGAATATTACTTAGCCATAAAAAAGAATAGAACTTTCCCTAGAGGGTATTATGCAAGTGAAATAAGTCAGACAGAGAAAGACAAATACTGTATGATTTCACTTATACATGGAATCTAAAGGAACAAACAAGTGAACCAACAAAACAAAACAGAAACAGACTCATAGATACAGAGGACTAGCTGATGGTTGCCAGAGAGGAGGGATGTGGGGAGAAGGGCCAAACAGGTGAAGGGGATTGAGAGGTACAAACTTCTAGTTGTAAAATAAATAGTCACAGGGATGTAATGTACAGCATAGGGGATATAGTCAATAATATCATAATTTTTTAAGGTTACTAGACATTGTGGTAATCACATCATAAGGTATATAGATGTTGAATCAGTATGTTGTTCACCTGACACTAATATAATATTGTATGTCAACTATACTTTAGTAATAATAAAAATATGATGGAGTATGCATTTGTATTAGAACAAGCCTATGCATGCAATAAAAATTCATAAGAAATTATGACTTCATAGATGAGGTGTGTTTAGAGTCTGGTTTAGAAAGAATGAATAATGTCTAATAGGTTTCATGGGAATGTTCTAGGAAGAGGGAAACATAAAAGCTTGGGTGTTTATGAATGGGGGCATTTGGATCACATGTGGGGAATCATGATGAATCATAAATGCTTACTCCTTGTGGTCAGTAAATGGCAGGAATTTTGCATATTTATCTTTGGACCTCAGGAGCAAATGACCAGCAGTTGATAGGACAACCTGATCTTTGTCACCATTCAATTTTATGCCATTAAAAAGTGTGATTTTAAGTTAAATATTTCATTACATATGATTTTTCTTTGAGCTGTGCTCATTTTGTAAACGTTCAGGTATTGATTTGCATATTCTCTATCCTGATATATTAAAGGTTTTGATGTACATTGTTTATTGTAGTTGTGACCCCAGGTATTTTATGTTTAGTACTGTACCGTTAATTTGGAAGTTGCTTGGACGTGGGACACGGGCTCTGTAAAGAGTAAGCATAGTTTAACAGCAATGCTTCCTGAATCTATGAGAAAACATAGCTGAAGGATAAGTAATATCACAATGAAAAATGTGAGTGGTTCATTTTTTATGCAACACAGAAAAATAAAAACAGATTTAAATATCTTATACATAAAATACAAATTATGCTTTAATAAAGTAAATTATCATTTAAGAAAAGAAAGTGCATATGTGGTTTGTGGACACATTGTTGTCCCATAGCATGAACTTTCATCTCAGAGACAAAAATTAAGAATTATAAGGAACAAAATAAATTGACAAACAAGATAGGACCACAGACATGGAAGCGTGAAACAGATTGACAGATCTCAGCAGGAAGGTGGGAAGGAGGCTGGGAAGAGATTGACCTAAGAACTTAGAAGCATATGTTCACAGCCCAGGGACAGACAATAGAAAGGGCAGGAACCCGGGAGGGGTGGGAGATAGGAGGAGAGGGGTAAAAGGGAGAATATGCAGTGTATCTGTAATAATTTCAACAATAAAATACATTTTTAAAAAGTTAAGAATTGTATTTATTGTTTAAATATTATTGGTTATGATACTTTTACATCAGGAATCCTTTTGATGGTATTATTTCTTAGCTTTAATGAGATAATTTCGTTAATCTATAAAGTACCAGTTGTGCTCTCTTTCTTCACCCCATCGGTTGATTTACTTTTGGCATCACATAATTGGCAAAACATGAATTCAAAATGTGTTTCCCATTTTTTTCCTTTCAGGGGAATCTTGAGGGGTTTGATACTTTTCAACCTCCAGTCATCAACCATCTTGTGGGAAAGGCTACACATTGGTGAGTGTCACTCATTCTAATTCCTCTTTCTGAAGTTCAGTTCAATAAAATCTATGACCTGATTGTAATATGGAATAAGCAGGATTAAAGGCATGTCAACATCTTGGTTTGCTAATTAGAAAGTGACTTTTTTTTCAAACAAATTTATACCTTTAGGATTTTGTTCTTGTTTTTAAATACTAATAAGAGTGCAATTAAAATCTACATATTTAAAGTTAAAATTATGTGGCGAACATAAAATTAAAATTATGTAGAGAATGGAAACTAGTATTTTTCTTAAAAATCTAAGATTGTGGTGGTATTGCTTATAGGTAATTTTTTAAATATTGTATTCATTGATACCATGGCCCATAAACAATAGTTGAATGAGCATCCATGAAGATGTCTGAAGCTTCAATCAAATAAAAGCTAATAAATCCTATTAGTTCTGGTAATACATACTTCTTATTTTGTATATTGAAATTCAATTTTAAAGTTAATTCTTATGTATTTTTATGGTATTAATTCAAATGCGTGCTTTTTTGCTTCAGCTTAGTTTTTTATCTGTTACCTGTAAATAGCATTAGTGTATCCTGGTATTATGTTTATGAACAATCCTCCCCTCAGTCAATCTCTCTCTCACACACACACATATACTCCATTACTCATTCATTAAGCACATTCACCATTAGTTAATCTGAACTTCCCTAAACTATAGTTTTTGAGGCACTTCTCACACCCTCACGTGCTTTAGTGCTATGATCTCTGCATGTTTTTGATGAAATATTCCATCATTTAAAAAATTAATATGCTTTCAGCCCTGGCTGGTGTGGGTCAGTTGGTTAGGGTGTGAGCTTGTACATGACGCAGCTGATCGATGTTTCACTCTCACATTGGTGTTTCTCTCTCTCTCTCCCTCTCCCTTCCTCTCTCTCTAAAAATCAATTTTAAAAAAATATTTAAAAATTTAATATGTGCGCAAATATATGTACATTATTTATAAATTAAATAAACTTACTACTATCTTTATAGCTAGATCAAAAAACAATAGTAAACTGTAAAATGTAGACAATAGAAATTTTAGAAGATACAAAAACAATATATATGTATAAAAGTTATAGTGGAACTTTGAGAACCACAGTTTTAGAAATCCTCTGCTTTCTCCTATATCTATTAACTCTCAGGAGATGTAATGGACACTCAAAGACTTAAGAAAACTTATTTTAATTATTAGATTGAATAGATATACTTACTACATGTGCAAGTCAGCAAGTGTGCTTATACATTTATATACACAAATGTGTGTGTGCATATGGTTGATGTGAAAGGGATTGGTTGGGTCAAGAGTTTAAGGTGACTTACAGTGGCACCTGTGATCTTAACTGAGTATTGCCCCTCTGGAAAGCATCAGGAGTAAAATAATGCTGAAGAATTGTTGTAGAGAACCAAGGAGCCAAATTTTTAGAAGTGACACCCTGTGTCAATGGAATACCTCCAAAGATATCTTGCCAAGTTGATATCTTGGCAAAGCAGATTCACGCCATTTATGGTCACCATACAATAGAATTCCTTAGTGATACATACGCTGGCCAGCTTTTTTCTCAGTAGGGTCCTCAGTGGTGGGCCACCAGATGTGATACTATAAGGAGAACAGAGGAAGATTGAATGGTTATAGTAAAAATTATTTACACCTAAATTTGCTTCTGCTTGTGTGAACCAATAATCCTATAAGAGTTATTTTTTTCAATGTATCAGATAACTTCCTTTGACTGTTGAGTATAAACAAGAGTTTCCCACCCCTAAGCCTTACAATAGGACCTCACATTTTAAAGTCTTAGCTCAAATCTGAAGCCAGACAAGGAGGTGGTGAGATGTTAAATATCAAATTCAGGACTTTCCAGACAAGCCCCCCATTATTAAATCTTTAATATAAAAGCCTTTGCAATTGCTGGTTCCACTTATTTGAGGCCTTTTCTAATTCAAGAACCTAGTACTCACTGCTAAACCAGTTAGGAAGCAATTTAAATGCTCTGTTATCCTGGAACCAGGCCTCCATCTCTTAGTTTTGAAAGTCTCATGCCAAATACCTGGCTGAAATAAGGGTATAGTGCATCTACATCATTTCTTTACTCTGCCAGGCTAGTTAAGTCTGTCAATTTTTTTTTTAAAAAGTGGAATAAAGTGATGCTTATCTGGCAAGTTCAGTGAATCCTTAATGCCTCTTATTTATTATGGCTTTCTCTATAGGCCAGCCAACTGATAATTCATTTAAATTTAATGATATTGTGTGGATCAATTTCTGCCACACTAAGTCATAGCATACAAAATCTAGCTTGTCTTAAAACAACAACAAAAAACCACATTTTTATCTGCATTAAGCTCTCTGTACTTGAGTCCTAGGATTTGTCCATAGAGGGAAAGAAAATACAAGCAGAGCAATCACTTTTGCTGTTTCATTTTGGATAGACTATATCATTCTCTGTGTTTTGTGTAACCAACCACCTCATAAATGTTTCTGAGTTGTCTGCTTTAGCCGAGAAAAAAAAAAAAAGTTTGGTATCTTTCTGAACACAGATGAAGATTTAAGCAGCTTTGTACTCAAAGTTGCTGGTGAGAGATCACAAACCTCAGAATCTAAGTGGGGACAAAAAGAGACTTTGCTTGGGGCGATGGGCACGCGATGCAGAGTGCGGATGATGTTTTATTGAGTTGTACACTTGAAACCTGTATGGTTTTGTAAAACAACGTCACCTCAATAAATTCAGTTAAAAAAAAGAAAAGGAAAGGAAAACAAAGGTGAAGATATGGATGTTAATATAACAAGTTGGTTGGTTTGTCTCTTCACTGAATAAACCATGTGCCATGTTCAAGACATAGGGACCCACTGTTTAAATTTTCAGGAATTTCTAACTGGAATTTCTTTAATTGTATGAGTTTTAACCAAGGGAATGCTCTTCCTTTTCTTAACCATCACCAAACTATTAATATATTTAACTTTTTTTTGCCCTGTGTCTTCCTTTTTACCAGCTCTCCCTCCCAAAAGTTAATATTAGCCCCGTAACCTCTATGGAGGAACAGAAGAGTCTCTTTATAGTCCATAGCTTTTATGGTTGAGCTCATCTACTCTTGTAGCTTCAAAGATTATTTATATCTAATGACATTCAAATTGATATGTCCTTTTAGGGTCTCATTCCTGAGAACCAAATCAACATATCTGTTTGATAACACATTAATTTCTCAACTTCCAAGGTGTTAAATTAGAACTCAAAGTGTTTTCCCACAAACCTGCTTATGTCTTTCCCAACCCAGTTTCTCAAAAAGATATCTGGGAAATATGTTAGATTCCTTTCTTACCTTCTCACCTCTCTTATTATATCACTCATGAAGTCTTGTTAATGCTACCTCTGGATAGATGGGAAATGTTACAGGAAATAAGAAATACTATTTTATATATATGTGTGTGTGTGTATATATATATATATATATATATATATATATATGCCATTTTGAAATACTTCGGTGGAAACTAAATGCATTAAGAGAAACAAAATGCTCATTGTAGTTTAAAACAAGGGCAAAGGGTAATTTATCCCCAAGTGAGGACAAATACCAAAGTATTTTATAATTTAGTTCATTGTATTTTTACTGTAAACGCCAATCTCTTTAACTTTACTTTATTTAGCATTTTTTACACATAAATATATATGCATGTATATTTGTAGAACCATTGTATCATTTCCCAATAACCCTGGCGAGTTTAATGCTCCAAAGTTTTCATTATGTGATAACATCAGTGAGGGGGGAAAAAACCCTTGTATCATTACCATATATTCACATAAAAATGCTTCCACATGTAGTGATCAAACATATATACTCTTTTCTAATTCTTTTAAATTTAATAGAACATCTAACATACATTTGGCTGAGTATTAACCTTGCTTTAATACTCGTGTACACAAACTTAGAACAGCCAAAAATATTGTTTGAAGATGCCTATGGACAGCCCCTCATGTTACTGGGCTATATTTGTGAACTAGGCAATTGTTCTGCCAACCTGGAGGACATATATCATCCATCTCTTTCTACCCCCAAATTTAATGCTTATACTTTTATCTCAACTGTTTTGACCATCATAATGAAAGATTTCATCCATTTGCTTAGTGTTTCCTTTTTATTAATGGAATAAAATATTTTGATTGACTTGAGAATATATCATAAAATTTATCATTCATTTTGTGTTCCAATGTCTATTTAATTATTGTAGACTTTTCCCCCAGCGTAAGAGTTTCAGGAATCTGACTCTATATTCCTATCAATGGCCAGAGTGAACTGAATTAATAGAAGGAATTGCCCCTTTTTATTTATTCTACCAAGGCCGAATCTCCAGAGAAATGCTTCATTGTTGCAGACAACACATTCTCTGGCTTGCTGGCTGGCCTTAATGGGATGTTAAAATCGACTGGAGCAATTTCTCTGTCACCTGAGAAGCACGGTAGGCTTTGTGGTGTATTACAATTTTATAACCTTCTCATGTCTTTATAAAATTTTTACATCACAAAACCAGTGTCTTCCTTTGCTTCTGAGACCACAGCTTCCTTTTTCTGAGGAAACAGTTCTTGTAAATGTGCGATATGCCTGGAATCCAGGCAGCGCCACCGCAGTGGCTGTGTGAAAGCCACGACAGGTGATATCACATCTAGCAAGCAGTATATCGGAAGCGTGTTTGCATTTCCTCACAGTGCTGCTGCGCCCAGAAAACAGTGCCCCCTGGGGAAGGCGGCCTCATTCTTGCCAATGCCGTTCCGATGTTGAAGCACAGATGGTGGGATAAAGTAAACAAAAGCAACTTTATTTTTGATGACTGTTGTTTATTTTAATCACTGTCAGAATAGATATTTCCCTGCCTCTTCAGAAACTCAGGCGGGCTCCCTGACTTTGTGGTAGCAGTGATGGTAGATGGTCCGCAACCCCTCCAGAACCTTAAAACACAGAGTGAGTTCATGGCCAGCCCCAGGAGTTCA